TATGACTGAAAAAAAATGACAGCCTCATCCATCTCAGATCATGCATTATTTGCATATGGAGTAGTGTTACCAAAAAAAGTCTTTTTCCACTTTGTCAAATTTAAGATATGTAGATCTCTTCATTCTCCCATTGTTGCAAACACAATTCTTGCTGCTGTTAATGCATGTAAAATTAGATATGTATTTCCTTTATTACACTGTTCTGGTAAGATACCTAACAAAAATATTTCTGGTTTAAAGTCTATATGTTGCTTTATCATTTTTTCCTAACCAAGTATGTATTTTGGTCCAGTATTATTATTATTTTTTTTGCCTTTGGGCATGTCCACCACATATGATAATACGAACCGATTACATTTCTAATATTTAGCTGACATATTTGCAAACATTTTTGCTAGCCTCACTGGTTGTGCCACCTATAATATGTGTTCTTCAGCATACTCCATATGCTGGTTGAAGAATCCTGAGAGGCCAGGCATGTTAAAATGGTTGAGGTTGAGTTAACACTGAGAAGGGATGGTGGCCTCGCTCATGCAAAGAGAGCCCACCGTTTCTGCCTTTTCCTAAGAGAATGAATCGTTTTAATAATGGAGTCTCCATCAATGTTATCTATCCCCACAAGTTGGATAGAGAATTTGGGGGTGTTACATCTTCTAGTTTTTCCATTTTTAAACTTCTGTCTTCCATAGTTGACATCAACTTCATTGGTGATATCCTTCATTTCCAAATAAGGATGTTCTATTAAAACTTACAAGGTGTTTTTTTTTTTAAAAAAAAACCTACCTATAATTGTTTCAATCTTTCTCTCCCCTCCATAATTACTGTCTAACTGCTGATAGGAGCATTAGGCAGCACTTCTAAAGGATTGTCTGCCTCTAGGCAACTGAAGACCACTGCTGCCAATTTCCCATATTATTCAACTGGAAAGGCATATGCTTGGACAAACTGTGGTGGGGGAATTTCCTAGCAGTTATTGGCAATGAACCTCCGTTTCTCCAAGATGCTTTTTTCTTTTTCTTTTTGGAAGGCATTTCATAAACCCTTCCTGTCTGGATATCAACAATTATATGAAAGAGAAAGTTAGGAAAAAAAGAGGAAAAGGAGAAGAAAAATCCCAGAAAGAGCGTTGTTTACTGTGGACTCATCAAACCAAAAGATTATAATGCAAAATCATGAAAAAAAATATCGCATAATGTTTTTTTATTCTCACTGAACTCATTCTATTATATATATATACAGAGGACATCTGTCTCCTGAAACTCTCATTAACCATCCAGTCAGAATTGATGAAGCTTCTTGGATAAGAAGCTAAACATCTTCCTCAATGAAAAAAAGATAACCTAGTTGCCTTTTGAAAAAGCATCTTTGAGACAACCATGACTTAGGTGACTGAAAATCTCCATAGACATCTTCCAACAAGGTGGATATCCATATAACTTCATAAAAAGCATCTGACTATTCAAATCCATTATAGCAAACTAACCACAAGCTGTGAAAATGTTAACACTGCCATACAGCAAAACTATCTCAAACAGCCAACAGTCTATTATAATCACATCCCCAAAGCATACAAAGCAACTCCAAAATACGTATTTTAAGCAAACCAAAGTAGCCTGAGAAGAAAAAACAGGAGTCATCTAAAACATATAGCATAAAGACTATAACAAGCACTAAAAGGCAGAAGACTAACAGAGCACATTCATGAACACCAGATAAGTCAGAAGACAACTTCTTAATTTCACAACACATGGACAGATATAAGTATAGTTTCAAGTTGAGAGGATCCTAATAAATTAAAATATATATACTAGGGAAGTCTGGTACAGACAAATCAACCATCTACAGGCACATAGAAATAAACAACATTTATATAACTTATATAACAGAAAACAAAAAAGGCCAGAACACTTCCTCTCCAGCAATTCACACCCAAATAAGCAGGGGTTAACACCATTCAAACAATGAAGCAGTAAGCAAATGAACTTTCTTATTCAATCTGCCTTTTGGCCACTCACATAGGGTCAGATTAGGTAATCATACCTCTTCAGCCCTTATTCTTAACACTGGTACACCACAGGGTTGCGTGTTGAGTCCCTTACTCTATACTCTTTATGTGCATGACTGCATTCCCACTCACGCTAGTAATACTATTACTAAATTTTCAGATGATACAACCAAGGAGCTTATAGTGGACTATAGAAGGAACAGATCAGACATCCAGCCCTTACTTATCAATGGAGACCGAGTGGAGCAAGTGGCCAGTATTAAGTTTCTGGGTGTTACCATAAAAGACGACTTGACCTGGGGTGCTCACATTGCAGCACTGGTCAAAAGGGCCCAGCAGAAATTATACTTCTCAGAAAACAACAACTGAATGAAAAACTGCTGGTGACCTTCTACCACTGCACCATAGAGAGTACCTTAACTTACTGCACCTCTGTATGGTTTGCCAATTGCACAGTGGCAGATAGGAAAGCACTCCAGAGGATTAATGTTATTGCCCAGAAGATCATGGGTTTCCCTCTCCCCTCTTTGGAAGAGCTTTATAGCTCCCGCTGCCTTAAGAAAGTTAAAAACATTCTCAAAGATCCATCTCATCCTGGGAACCCTGTTTTTGAACTATTACAATCTGGCAGATGGTACAGGACAACAAAAACAAGGACAAATAGGCTGAAAAACAGCTTCTATCCCAGGGCAGTCGCTCTATTGAATTCTACTATATAGTGCAGTGTTGGTGTGGTGTTGGGGGTTTTTGGTTCAATGTGTGGAGTGTGAAGGATGTGTGTTTGTGTTTATTTTCATGGTCATGATGTGCACTGAAGATGGTGTTGTATGAGGTGTAATGACAATAAACTAAACTAAACTGAGCTAAACTGAACTGAACTAAACTAAACTAAACTAAACTAAACTAAACTAAACTAAACTAAACTAAACTAAACTAAACTAAACTAAAACAGCCTAATCAAGGAACTACGAAGGAGAAAACAACATTTCCATTGGTTCTGTAAGGACAAGTTACTATATATAAATAAGCCATGTTATGTCCAAAGGCATTCAATTGCTACCCTTTCTGGTAAGTAAGTGTCTAAAAATAGGACCTTAATCAAACTATAAAAAAGGAATATGAGTTAAAGAAAAACTACATATAAAAATGTCCTGGCCTCATTGTTAAGTAGGTCATTCCTTTAACAGCATACAAATTGGATACATAGAGAAATACATGGCTGAATCTCTGGATAATCCCTGTTTTTTCTGACCTTGCCTCTGGATTAACATCTCTCTTTACTTTCCCTCACCCTGTGATTGTGTCTTATGGTTTTGGCCTGTCAGTTCATTTTGCCACTTATCTATGTGGTGATCTCATCCACAGGCCCATGAAGGGACCTAACCAATCCCTGTTATCATAATATTACTCTGAGAAAAGAAGGGTAGAATTATATCACAACAGGATTAACCAATCTGTGGTGATTAAGCAGACTTTTGAAACAGGAAAAAAAATTGATTCTGAGAAGAAGGTTGCGAGCATGCCTCAGTTGTAACTGAGTGTGTCCCTCCCATAGTTCTGCCTCTCTCCCTACCCTCCCCACTCCCCCACAAAACAGTGCACATCTCAATTCAAAAGGTCCAAGGACTGAATTCCGACACTCATTTTTTATGGTTCGCCTCCCACCCACCCACCGAAACAACGCCTGGCAAAAATTAGCACTGGGTTAGGATTAGTCTTTTAATTCCTCATTTCCTTTCAGATGAAGAGGAATCAGTCAAAGGGCCACTCATGCAGACATGAGGTCAGAGCCAGTTTTTCACTGTGTGTTTACAGAGTCGGGACTGAATAGCTTGGAACAGCTCATGCAGAATTGGGGATTCACCCAGCATGTGAAGACTGCAGCTTTTGGCTGTTGATTAAAAAAAAGGGATGAGCTGAATGGAGCTGTCAACCAACAAAGGAGAGCTTCTATGTGGGAGACATTTCTATAGAGTGTCCTCACAAAAGGACATTTGGGTTTAATCTTGATACCATGCTCAAAGCCATGGTTAGATGCTACAGAACCCATGGGAATGCAGGGGTATGAAGAACCATCTCTTGTTTGAATATGTCCCTTGCTGGTCCTTATTATAAATGCTAAGCGGAAAACTGTAGATGTTAAAATCTCAAATGTGTAATAAAATGCATTCAAAATAGCTGTGTGACTGCAAGGACTACAACACAATTCTTCCAATGTAGGAAGATAAATGTACTTAATGAAACAAGGAAATACCTATTGAACCCAGCATCTTCAGATAAAGACTGATAATCTGTGTTAAATAAGTTTCCATCAACTTCAGCCATTAAAGACAATGGATATTTAAAAACAAATAACCTAGGTCTATTCAGAAAAACCTTTTAGAAAAGCAAGCAAATGTTCCAATATTCCAAATAATGTAATGAATCTTTCAATAAACATGTATGCTGTAAACCAAATGTCTCATTCATATCTGATAATCAAGTCTATAATTCAGTTTTATTCTTATCAAATGCTTGGCAAACCAAGAGAATACATATCAAATGCATTCTTTATGTTGCTAGAGAATCAAATTCATAATGCAAATACCAAGACATTTGTGAGAAAGGAGTCCCAACTGACTTTTCTTTAAAATATTGGCATGCCCATATTTTTTCAAATGTTCATGCCTCCACCAAAGTCATGTCAATATTTGGAGGCAAAATGCCTTTTTGGGGCAGCCCCCATCTGAATATTATGCTAGACTTTCATACATCAATTTTGACTTTGAACTGTCCTCTCACATTTCTCTATAACCTTTGGTGATTAAAGATATTGTCTTCTCCTTCTCTTATAATGCCACTATAAGCCTATGACCAGATCTCCAAACCCAAAATTTATATCAAACTGAGCATTAATAGCTCAGGGCACCACGTTACGATACCAAGATTACAATGAATTAAAAGCATTTATTTTTGATGCATTTGGTAGGGATAAAATGCATGAGAAATTGCTTACTTGTGTCCAGATTCATGGGCAATAGTAAATGCCAAACCAAGGCCAGTATCTTCATTGATGGTGCAACTCCGGTATTTGCTGCACATTCCACTGATTGGAGCAAAGCCTGCCAGGAAATTATAAGAAATAGAAAGCATAGAGGAAGGAAAAGAATGAAATTATGAAAAGAATTGCATTCTGCTGCTGCCTAACTTTGTGGAAATTGAGGCCACGTTTTAGAGGCTGAACATTCACAGCATATTTTGTTTCCTTGTGTAAAAAGGAATAGACAGACACATGGAAATAATGGGGTCAATCCAAGATAAATGCATCTTGTCTGCAACAGCTGGCCTTCAAAACTAACACGAGCTCGTTTTCTCTGCTGACTCAACATCAGTCTAGGTCAGCTGGGAAAATGGTTTTAAAAACAGATGCCAATTCTTTTCTGAAAGTCAGCCAGGAGAAATTAAGAATGGTTGGCTAGCGATATTTCCAAAATCTAAAACAACATAACTGGGAAGCTTCCTAAAGCACAGTGGCCATTAAACAGGGATGTTTCTCTCGCCCAGATAATTCTTCTTTGGGGATGTCATTCATTCCTGCTGTTAATATTGACGGAATAAGTGAACGATAGAGATCAGTATGATTTTTCACAATCTGTATTTTCCTATTGGTCTGCCTTGGAGTTTCGATTAGACATGCATAGAGAGGATTAATGTTTTCCCATGCTCCTATATCTGTATGTGCACATGCATATATTCCCATCTCATGTAGTCCTGAGCCTAATATTGCTTCTCCTCTCTATATTCAGAATATTTAAAAATATTAAACCAACAGATGAACTTTAATATTAAAATTAATAATAAAATAAACAATAAAATTAAATGTAAATTTAATAAAAATATTAACATTGATATCATATATAGCTTTGAACATGATCTTGGGACATGATTTATAGGAGATAGATTAAAGGACTGTCCATAACAGATGGACAGAAAGTTATCCAGAACAACAATTCTTAGTACCAACTAAGCCAATCACATTTCTCCTTCTTCAAACTATCTGCATGTTTGGTATTGATTGGCTACTTGCAACAGCAACCTCTGTTAATCTACAGTTATATTTCAGTGTTCAGTAAAACAAGATTTGACTGATGAATTCTGAAGCCATTTTGGGGTCCTTGGTTCTTTCTGAGTTTGATGGGGGTTTTTTGCAGACATTTCATTACCAAACTAGTTAATAATCATCAATGTAGTAGTTGGGTAAAGAAACATCTGCAGGAAAACCACCAAGCTCAGGGAGCACGAAGGATCCCACAGTTGAACCATGAGCTACACATATTCCCTTCTGTCAATAGATCATTTGCCATCCACATTCGCATGTTTCTCTGTCTTACCTAAAGTGTCACAAGGTTCATTCTTCCAGGAGCAAATATCAAATCCAGTAAGCAAGATAGCATGGTCATGCCTTTTCCCATTATTTCCAACCAGAGCTGACTGCCATTGGCAAAAACTGTTCAGTGACTGGTCTGCATGATGGTTGATCACTAGTCCCCCCTACAGAAAAAAAATACAGATGATCACTCAGCTCAATCCCCAGGAACAAAAGAAAGGAGAATTCCTAGGGAGGCAATAAAAAGTAGGTAGAGAATAACATGAAATATGCATTTGCTTTTCATTGTTAAGAACAATGCCATTTAGGATTCAGCGTTTTGAACGCCACATAGAAACATGGCTGGAAAGGATCTCAGACATCTTCTGGTCCAACCCTTTGCTACAAGGCGAGACCTTATAAAATGCCAGACACACTGTCCAATCTCTTCTTGGAAACTTCCAGGGACGAAGCACCCACAAATCCAGGAGGCAAACTGTTCCATTGATTAATTGTTTTCTCAATGTCAGGAAACTTCACGTTACTTCAAGGTTGGATCTCTCTTTAACAAGCTTCTACCCCATTATTTCATGTCCTGCCCGCTGGAGAATACAGTAAGTCAGTCACGTTTTTTCCTTTTCATTTGTTTATATTTAGCTTATACCTTGTCTTAGTTCCTTATCTAACAAAAACCATTTCAAAATATACTTGAAAGGCTGCCAAAGTAATTATCAACTGTTATCTCTGTCACCTATTATGATAGTCAAATTCAATTATATGTATATAATACCAAGGCATGCAGCCAGAACATACACGCACCTCTCTGGTATAACATTAAACAGAAAAAGAACTTGCTACTTTAGCATTCTGATGAAAAATCTTTTATGTGTAGTATCTTGAGTGTGAGTTTAAGAACCTTATAAAAATATAGCAGAAACCAGTAGTAGTCCTTAGACAAGAGAGCATGGCAACCATTTTTTTAAACCTTTAAAGGCAAATTGTTGAGTAAAACTAAGTGAAACATGATCTTCAGCCACTGCAGAGAATGGGGGGGGTTATGTGTGTTTTTTGTGTGTGTGCGTGTGTGTGTGTGTGTATGAGAGAGAGAGAGAGAGAGAGAGAGGGAGAGGGGGAGAGAGAGAGAGAGAGAGAGAGAGAGAGACTGTGTGTGTGTATTAAACTGAGTTCCAGTTTCAGTGCTTTTACCTTTCTGGAGCCCTTTATTGATTTGATTTTGAGGAAGGCCATCAGTTTATCATCCTTAGCACAACACAACACCACTCACATTTTTCATGTTCCATTTGAGGAATAAAAACAAGGGAAATTGAAGGTAAAGAAAAGGAGGAACAACGCAACACATGGGCACATACTCTTGAGAATCAATGGACTTCCATCTAAAAGCCTAAAGAGGACAAAGGACATTTGCAAACATCACAGAAGAAATACACATAGCTATTCCCTTCCATTTCTAAACAGGGAAACAAGTTTCCTCTTAAAGCAAGGTAGTGCTAGAAAGAGAACTAAGAAGGGCCCAGTTTAGTATACACTTGATAAAGGATAAACTAAAATATATACAAAACCAATTTCCAAGATTCTATTACCTTATCCTTGCAATTTTTTCCCTGTAATAATTCTGGCTAAACAAAACTCTGTGAGAAACTACTTTTCTGGGTTACTGTCATGGATTTGACACTCATTGTGTTATTGCATATGGTTCATAAACTCAAGAGAATCACCATGAAAATAAATTCTTCAGAGCAATTTCTTATGCAAAAGGCTTGTGCGTGAGCCTCAATGCCGCAACCCCTAGCTCTATGTAAAACACATTCTGACCAAAAATGATGGCAAATTACTCACAGGTTCTTGCTCCAAAAGAAGAAGGCTCACAACAATGATATTGATGTCACTTCCAATTGTACCGTCCTTGAAAAGACTTGAGACCTGTGAAAAGATTGACATGGCAAAGGAGATAAGGAAGAAGAAACAACTGGTTGGCAAGTAAAACTGATAGGAAGATGAAATTCACTCCTGACAAAACTATGAAATTAAAACAGAAATGGACAACTAAAAGCTTGAGGGACACAAGGAACACATCCTCTCTTCGTTTGAGCCTCATCAAAATTGTGCAGGAAAAATTGTGTGGTAAACCAGCATATTTTGAAGACACTTTGGTAAACATGGGGTAGGGTGGGAGCATAAGTGAGAAAAGCTGAAAATATCTCAACAATAGTAATCTAATCAATTATAATCAAGATTGACATATTAGCATTCCTAATTTTTGATGGAAACTCTAACAGACCATGCAAATATTGACAATGGAGGACAAGTATAATGGAGGAAAAAGGGCCTGGAATCACACACACAAAAACACCCCTTTCCTCTCTAGTTTTGTAAATCAGAGTGGTTGATTAAAATAACTGTCTTAGCTAGGTTCCTACTACACATTTTGTTTTGATATAACATCTTATGGATGCCCCAATTACTGCATTTGGCTAACCAGCTTTCAAGTTTTTGTTATCATATAAATTATCGAACCAATTCTGGTTGACAATTAAACAAATCATGGCTTAATAGAGCAATTGTCAAGCCCGAAATTGACATACGTGTAGCCATTTTAGTTAGTCTTAGTAGATATATTCTTTTTCTTACTTTCTCTGTGGCAGTCATGGGGGAAAGGTTTCGGGCTTGACACATTCCTAAGGGGGGAGGAGTGGAGATAAAGAGAGTTGCAACACCACAGACAATACTGCTACCCTTCAAAAAGACCTCGACTATGTATCAGAATGGTCAAACAAATGGCAACTTCAAATCTCAACAAATAAATGCTCTGTCTTAAATATTGGCAAAAAAAAAATCAGAAAATAAAATGCAAGTTGAATAGTCAAGACCTTGTTGATGATCCAAACTCTGTCAAGGACCTTAGAGTACTCATCTCTAATGACCTAAGTGCTAGAGCCCACTGTAACTACATAGCCAAAAAGGCATTAAGAGTTGTTAACCTAATCCTACGTAGCTTTTTCTCTGGTAATATCACACAACTAACTAGAGCATACAAAACATTTGCTAGACCAATACTCGAATACAGCTCATCAGTCTGGAACCCACATTATGTATCTGATATTAACACAGTTGAGAAAGTCCAGAAATATTTCACAAGAAGAGTTCTCCACTCCTCTACTCGTTGCAGAATACCTTATGCCACCAGACTTGAAATTCTAGACCTAGAAAACCTAGAACTATGCGCCTTCGATCTGATCTAAGTATAGTATATAAAATCATACATTGCAATGTCCTACCTGTCAATGAATACTTCAGCTTCAACCATAACAATACAAGAGCACACAATAGATACAAACTCAAGGTTAACAGCACCAAACTTGATTGCAGGAAATACAACTTCAGCAACAGAGTGGTCAATGTTTGGAATACTGCACCTGACTCTGTGGTTTCTTCCCCAAACCCCAAAATCTTTAACCTTAGACTGTCTAGTATTGACCTTACTCCTTTCCTAAGAGGTCTGTAGGGGATGTGCATAAGTGTACCAACGTGCCTACGGTCCCTGTCCTATTGTTTCTTTTTATTTTTCTTATATGTATCCATTTCATGTATTCATAACTATGTTTGTACTTATACCTATTATCTTGTAAGTGATTGACAAATCAAATAAATAAATAAATATTTCTTCCCATGGGAAATGAGCTGTCCTTGCTGGGGCCCTTTGAGGTGGAGATTTATGACATCAAGCAACGTTGAATTACTTCTATTGGAGAATGTGACTTTTGGGGGTTGTATCTAACTTGTAATATTGTGGGGTAATTCTGGGTTGTGTCAGATCTGGAAATACCATGGACTTTGCCAATTTGATGCTTTCCTAAATAAAAGAAATCTTTTTTGAAGATGGACTTTGTACTTTTCTTTTTAAATGGATTTCATCACTTGGAAACCTGACAGCAATATGGATCAATGGCATATCTGAACCTTAGAAAGCCACTGCAAAAGGAGGAATCAACTACAGAAAATGTCCAGAAAACAGTCTTAAATAGGTAAATTCATAAGATAAGACAATGATCCTTCAGAAGTCAGCAAGCGTGTTATAGCCTGAGACCAAATCTTTAAATTCCTTCTGCCAGGAAATAATATACCTTGGTATCTCCTCTGTCCTGAACTTCAGGCTCTATGCACCCTCCTTATTAATGAAGGGTTCAAGTAGTTGGGTCTACTGCCAAAGAAGCAAATATGCACTCCCACTCCTGCTAACACAAGCGAGGAAAAAGGTCAGGAGGGAAAAGAGGGAGCAAGTTCATAACCTCATTTCCTTCCTCACTTTGAAGCAAAGCATAAACACTCAAGCAAGGCCACAGCATTGATGGCATTGTGCTATTTAATCTAACATGACAATGTGGCTTATTTGTATCAGTGCTGGGCATGGACCCAGTCAAATCCTGTGGCAGAAAAAAAATGGCTTATGAAAGCTCCATGCAGTACCTTTTATCTATCTTTGTCGCTTGCAAGACCATCCGGCAAATACTAAACCAAGCCTCTTTCAAAGAGCCTTCTCTGCTTGAATAGTAGTACATTCAGAAGAGATAGATGAATAAATATTCTAATAATAATATTCATAAGCACTTGGGTCCTAGGTGTCTTCCAGATGGACCACTGTAACACACTATCGGTTGGCAGCTCTTGAGGAGTATTCAGAAGCTTCAGCTGACACAAAATGTAATAGCAGGAGCAGTTACGTATGCTTCTAGAATGACATGCATTACACCTCTGCTTCGCCAGCTGCATTGTTTCCCAGGTTGCTTCTGGATCCAATTCAAGGTGTTGGTTATGACTTTTAAACATCTATATGGCACGGGAGGTTTTTTGAGGGACCACCTCTTCCCAGTGACATCTACCCATCCCATTAGATCCAGTAGAAGAGGTGTCAGCCTGCGAGTTTCACTGGGAGAATTCTAGGAAGAACACCTTCCTGCTGTAAACTCGGTCTTGATTAACATCATTGTTCCAGAGGTGAAGCTGGCCCAACCCTGTTAGCCTTCCAGAAATGAGCTTTGGGCTATCATGATAGAGTGGAGCATTTGGGATGGTTATATGATCATTATCTGATGCCTTCTCTGTATGCTTGCTGCCACTTTAACTTTTTATTCTGTTTTATGTATTTTGTTTTGTCTACCACCCATAAGTAGACTAGGTAGATAGGTAGGTAGATGATAGATACTAGGTAGGTAGGTAGGTAGGTAGGTAGATCTAGTAGATAGATAGATACCGTGTTTCTCACAAAATAAGGCTGGGCCTTATTTTTTTTTTGACCCTTGAAAAAACGGCTAGGCCCTCCCCCACCTAGAGCGGCCCATATGCACATACCTCACCACGAGGCCGCTTCTATCGGCCAATGAAAGCTCCCCGAAGGCAGAGTCCCCAGCTGCTTCAGGGCGTGGCATGGCTGCCCATGTCCCCTTTAGGCAGTCTCTTATGGGTGATGGAAGCTCCCCAAATACAGTCAACAGCCACTTCGATCAGCCGGTAGAAGCGGCCTCGGGGCAAGCGCGCACACACACTCCCCTCGCCGTGAACCCGTTTCTATCGGCAGACGAAAGCTCCCTTGAAGGCAGAGTCCCCAGCCACTTCAGGGCATGGCTTGGCTGCCCATGTCCCCTCGCCTTTAGGCAGTCTCTTTCGGGCAATGGAAGCTACCCAAGTGCAGTCACCAGCCACTTCAATCGGCCGGTAGAAGCGGCCATAGTGCGAGTGCACACACACACTGCCCTCTCCGCGAGGCCACTTCTATCAGCAGATAAACGCTCCCTTGAAGGCAGAGTCTCCAGCTGCTTCAGGGCGTGGCGTGGCTGCCCGTGTCCCCTCGCCTTTAGGCAGTCTCTTTTGGGCGATGGAAACTCCCCAAATACAGTCACCAGCCACTTCGATCGGCCGGTAGAAGCGGCCTCGGGGTGAGGGGAATGTGTGTGTGCGCTCGCCCTGAGGCCGCTTCTACCGGCCGATCAAAGTGGCTGGTGACTGCATTTGGGGAGCTTCCATCGCCCGAAAGAGACTGCCTAAAGGCGAGGGGACACGGGTAGCCACACCATGCCCTGAAATGGCTGGGGACTCTGCCTTCGGGGAGCTTCTATCGGCTATCGGGGTATTCTAGCCTAGGCTACCTGCAGGGCACTCCTAAAGGCAAGTTTTCTCCCCATCCCCCCCACCCTTCTCCCCCATTTCTCTTCACCTCGTGTAGTTCTAACGAACGATGTGAGAAATGGCAGGGAAATGTATGGTTTAAATAGGCCTAAATTTTGGGGGCGGGGCTTAATTTCACCTCATGCCTAGAAATCATGCTGGGCCTTCCTATTGGTGGAGGCCGTATTGTTGGAGAAACACGGTAGATAGGTAGGTAGATAGATAGATAGATAGATAGATAGATAGATAGATAGATAGATAGATAGATAGATAGATAGATAATCAATATTAATAGATGACAGATAGATAGATGATAGATAGATCAATAGATAGATAGATCTAGATAGATAGATAGATAGATAGATAGATAGATAGATAGATAGATAGATCTAGATACTAGATAGATAGATAGATCTAGATACTAGATAGATAGATAGATAGATAGATAGATAGATAGATAGATAGATAG